GGGAATGGGCCACTGAAAGCTGGAAAAACTCAAACTCCTTCAGGGTATACCACTGACCCAAACAGGGAAGCCCCTGCCCAGCAGGCTGGAGAGAGTAATTGCTGTTGTTCACCACACCCTCTGCAAGAGTAACCAACCATAAACATCAGAGCCTACAGATATCATTTGCTGATAAGCAGCCAGTTTGACTCCTCTCTGCCAGTTCCCTCTTCAGTCCTGTCCTGCATTTACCTACTCTCACCCTCCTGGACTCAAACCCTTGCCCTCAAGCCCCAACCTCCTCTCTCACCTCTGACTCCTCTCACACTTGACCTTCTTTCCCCACCTTTCTTTGTATTTGGACTATCCATCACTCTCCCACACTTCCTGCTGAGGCCGTTCTCCCATTCTTAACATCTGATATTTTCTTAGTTGAAGACCTCAACCCCTGTCCAGGGTCAGTGCCTCCCCTCATCAGGGCAGGACAACTCCCAGGAACTGAGGGTGTGTGTCCTCGTGCATGTGCATGTGCTGGGATTGTTTTAGGTCACCAGCAGGCAGCCGCTGATGGGCTGCAGGATGGCAGGCCCCAAGGGAAGATCTGGATGAGAACACAGGAGCTGGGAGGCAGGGACCCAGGCACTACACCTGGCGCAAGTCATTACCTGAGGCAAAAGCAGAGGGAACCTCATCTGTCTCGTGGCTGGATCAGAATGGGTCCAAAGTCTGGCCAGAACTGAGGAGTATACCTCGCCTGCACTTGGGGATGAAGCATGGGGATTGGAAGGCTGGGTGGGATAGAAACAGGAACTGCAGCAAGGAGTAAGCACACAGGTTTTGGCTTCTTACAGACCTGTGCTTAATGCCAACTCTGGTATTTACTAGCTATGCAGCCTTGGGCGAGTTCTTAACTCTCTGGGCTGGTTCACTACCTGGGTATACACAGCTAGGGCAAGCTAAGTGCAAAAAAAAAAAAAAAAAAAAAAAAAAAAAAAAAAAAAAAAGGCCATTATTATTTTCCTTCTTCTTCCATATATTTCTTTCTAAAACCTTCCCTTCTTTTCCTGCCTATCTCTATCCCAGAATTCCAGTTTCCAGTTTCAAGACGACTACTTCCCTGCATCCTATTTATCCATCTGTCTATCTCCCTCCCCTGGATGACCCCCAGGAACTGCTTTCTCACCCATCCCCTCTCCTCCAGTGTCTCAAGTGCTACTCCTCAGGACTCCCCCTCCATGTTTACCTAGACGCTGTCTCACCTGTCCTGAAAACCCCTCACTTGCCTCTGCTTCCCTATCACTATCCCTATCCCTTTTCTTTTCAAGCTTATTTTAAACTTATTTTATGTTTTACTTTTTTACTTTGTAGGGACGTCTTTGTTATTCGTGCTCTTCAACCTTTCATTTGAGTCTGATCACTAGAAGCCACGAATGGCCCCTCCCAGCCCTCCTGGCCTGGCTTTTCTGCTGCCTTTGATACCTGGACCACCCTCTACTCCTGCCCCCACCCCATGCTCCATGCTATCCCTGCTCAGTCCTGCTCTGTCCCTGGTAAGGCTGTCCCTCTGGATTCTATCGCCCTGGCTCCTGGCCGCCTGACTTACTGGGTCTAGCCAAAGGGAGCTACTGGCAGGGGGTTGGCGGTTAGGAGGAGAAATAAGTTGGGATATTTTCTTCCCACTTCTCCCTTCTACCTCTACCATGGCTCAGGCAGTGGCTGCTTTCCTCTGATAGGCTGTCCCTCCTCCACAGCTCCAGCTTTCTGTTGGCTCCAGTAACGTAATCGTAATCATCTCTTCTGCCCTTCCAAGTGGGGGTGTTCACAGCTCCCTGTCTTTGGATGCATCACCATCCCTTGGTCGTCCCCTCATCTGTGCCCACTCCTCTGTGGGAGCCCTGTTAAAATGATTGGCAATTGGACCTTTTTGTGTGTGCCCACCTGTTCCCAGAAGGGAACTTGTGCGGGAGCTATCTACCACCTGCTGGGCATTTCTTTCACTCTTACAGAGGGAGTGGGAGAGCCTGGAACCCTCTTCACAGGGGCACATTCATTTATCCCACTTATTTTCCAAGCTCCTACCATATGCCAGGCACCACATAGGTGCTAGGAATGTGCTATAAATAAAGGAAACACTACCTCTCTGTTCCTAGATGTGGAAGTAAGGTTGGCGTTGGTGGTATAGTGGTGAGCATAGCTGCCTTCCTAGATGTGGAAGTGATGCTGATATTGTAAATCTGTACTCGCAGGATTTTAATCCAATACCCTGGGTTCAGGGAGTGAAGGGAGACCCTCAAATGAGTCTTCAGAGAGAGTTTGGGCATTCCTGGTCATCTCAGCCTGAAAGGCACATTTGAGCTTCTGTTCTGAGTGTGAGTTGAGAAGTCAGGATGCCCACCAGGGTGGAAATGGGGGCCCAGGCTTGAACCACAGAAATCTGCCAACTAAAGATTGGTCTTGCCATGGCCAGAAGCATAATGCCCTAAAAACAAAAGAGGATTATTGGAAACTTACAGTCTAATGCAAAGAAAGAAAACAGTTCCTCCAGAGAGGGGCTGATTCCCACCCCCAGCACTGAGTGGACCCCACAGGGTGGCACTATCTCCTGTCATGCTCTGGCCTGAGCCAGGTCACGAGTCCTTCCCTCTACACCCAGAGTATGTTGGGCAATCAGGGATCAACAAGGAAATAAACCCTGAGACCAACGTGCAGCTAGATGGGCCCTTCCTGACATTATCTGACCATGAAACCCTTTAAAAAGGACTCTAAATTTTGAGACATCTGCAGGAGCTCTGGAGTTATCATTTGTGCCAGGGTTACAGTAGAAATCAAAAACAGTCCTAAAGACAAATTCGTTGCTGCAAAATTTAACAGTTTCCCAAAACACTCCAAGCAGAATTTTTAAAATCACAATATAGAAAAACCAGATATTTTTAAAGACCCAGTGTCCAAATGACAGCAAGATAAGACAACACTTAGTAACACACACTAACGCTTAGATGACATACACCAATGATGTCAACAGTTATTTGGTAAATACTTCTTAGGCAGTTGAAGCGTCACACCTGCAAAGCCATAGGTAATTTCTCCCCAGGATCACCTGTTTCACTTACGTAGCACAGAGATTCAAAGGGAGATTTTCCTATTATAATAACTATATGAAATGTGTTCAGCATTTTAGAAATCTTTCAAAAAACTATATTCAATTAACTTTCATGTGAAAAATACATAAAAATGCACTCTAAAAGGTGAAAGTTATCCACAGTTCTACAACTCAAAATACATGAACGTTTACTGAGTGCTTACTATGTGCTAGGCATTGTTCTAAACACTTTACATGTGTTTTGTCATTATGTGTGAGGTAGGCAATAATTTTGTTCCAGGTAACTGGCTGGGATCCGAGAAGTTAAATAACTTGCCCGAGGCCACACAGCTAGCACAGGTAGAAGTTAGATTTAGATCTAAACAATGTGGCTCAAGAGCCAGTCCTCCTAATCTTACTGAATGGAATTTTCCTCCATTGCTCTAACTCATTCCCCAGAGAACATCACTACTGATATTTTGGTGTTTGTCCATCTAGCCTTTTTGCTATGGCCACACACAGAGACACAAACATAAAGGAGCTCATGCTAGACATATTATTTTGTGGCTTGTGTTTTTCATTTAATATATCTAGAACATCTTTCCATTTCAACAGGTATCTACATAATATTCCTTGGTGTGAATATAGCATAATTTACTTAATCAGCCTTCCATTATTGGATATTAAAAGAGTTTCTAAGAGTTAATTCTTGTAACTTGTGATAAGCATAACTTACTTTTCCTCACTTTAAAATGTTTGAAGGAAATATATTATTAGCATGGATTATTTTCACGTGACACTAACGTCTCTTAAAACACTAATGTTTGTGGAACACTGGGAAGCGAATCCAGATACTTCACTACCTTCAGTAAGCTTCAGCTTGCAATCCCCTTCTTCTGCACTCTGAGTCATGTAGCAGAACCTGCTGTCACTCACCCTCCCACCCCACATCACCAAACCATCCCCACAAACTCAAATATCTCAGCCTAGAAGACAAGACCTAAAATAGCAGGGACCAGAGAGATATGGAGTATCCATACTTCTCCCCAGCTCAGACCCTGCTTTTTGACTTCTGAGTGTTTGGCTGAGGAAACATGACTCCTTCAGTGAAGACATTAATGACTACCAGTGGGTGGGCAAACAAAGAGACCGGAAGAATTGGGTCAAGGAGAGACTCCCTGGGGTGAGGGGAGGGGTGAGTAAGATGGTAGATGCCCGCTATTGACAGCAAGATAAATGTGGACTCATCTGTTTCCTTCAAGGACAGAGTAAAGTTTCAGATTGTTTTGATGACTTTTGTTGGTGTCAGCCTGGGTATCCTTGAATGAAGGTCCTTGAAAGACAGGACCTTCGCCAAGTACCCCTTGAGTACCTGTTATGCATATGACCACCATAGTAGGAGGGAAAAAAGGACTTGGTTTATTTTTTAGGTTGGGGGGGTGTTGTTTGTTTGTTTGTTTTTTACTTAGGTCTTTTTCTAACTTCAGTACCTACTCTCAGGGGTCAAGAAGTTAATCTTTTTTTTTCTTTTGGTTGAACAATTTTTTTGTTGTTGGAAATTTTTTAAATTATCTTATTTTTTTTATTATGTTAGTCACCATACAGTACGTCATTAGTTTTAGATATTGTGTTCCTTGACTCTTTGTTTGCATTTAACACCCAGTGCTCCATGCAATAGGTGCCCTCCTTAATACCTGTCACCAGGCTCACTCATCTTCCACCCCAAAACCCTAAGTTTGATTCCCAGAGTCCATAGTCTCTCATGGTTCATCTCCCACTCTGATTTCACCCCCCCCCATTTTCCCCTTTCTTCTCCTAATGTCCTCCATGCTATTCCTTATATTCCACAAATAAGTGAAACCATATGATAATTGTATTTCTCTGTTTGACTTCAGTGAAAAAAAAGGACTTGTTTTGAGAAATCCAGTAAGGATTCCCAGGAGAAAGAAGCTCCGGCAGCAGAAGAGGCAGTAGCAGTTAGGAAAGACAAGGCAAGCCAGATTTTTTACCCTTGGGAAGCTGAGTTAGGATTAGAATTTACATTAAGAACTTTTATTTCACCATGCCATCTGGGTGACAAATGAGAGGAAGGAGAAAACACTGATGATTGCATAAAAGGTTCTATGGGCCAGGCCTGGAGGGGGCAAACAGTAACTTCCAGAGCCCAGTCACTTGACTACCTCTAACTGCAAGAAAGGCTGGACTGTAATCATCTAGCTATGTTCTCAGGAGGAAATAATTTGGGGAACAACTACTGAACCCCTTTCAAGAGTCAAGACTTTGGGAAAAAGTTAACCTGTCTGCACCTCAATTTGCCCCATCTTTAAAATGATAGGAGAGTACCTTCCTTCCAGGATGTTAGAGCCATTAATGTATATAGAGGAATGTGGCCTATAAGAAGCACTCCATAGTTGTTGGCTTACTAGCCTTAATCATTGTGTCCCCAACCCTGAGCAGTGGCTGGCAGTCAGCAGATCCCTACAAGGACTGTGTAATGACTATAACTCCAGGTGCTCTAGTCTGAGTAAATCCTTTGGGTTTGGACAGCTCATGAGGAACCTGACCCCTGGGATGGCTCATAGTGCTGTAGCCAGGAAACCTGAGTTGAAAAGACCATGGTGAATACGGGCTCCCTCCATGGGAGTGTAGACTAAAATACAGACCAAGAGGCACCGTTAGGAGCCTAGAACCATGGAGGACCAGAGGTCAAATAAGTCCACAGGTCAGTGTCAATGACCTTCTCAGAGAAAGGCTAGGTAGGGTGGGAGGTCAGGGTGCAGTAGTTGCCCAGTCTCTAGGAGTCAGAAATAAGAAGTTGGAAGGGCAGAGCAGAGACCTGGAGGGCTAAAGTGATGCTCAGAGCATCCTGCTCTCCACCTCCTTCAACTTGGGGTTGTTCCTGAGTGTCCTCATGCAACCACAGACTGAGGATAGAACCACATCCTCGGCACAGGGAGCCTGGGATGTCCCAAGTGACAAGTGCTTAGCTTGCCTTCCTCCCTGAGGAAGACCTTTCCCTTGCACCCAGCCTGCCAAACCTCAGACCGCCCCCCACTCTTCACCTGTCCAACCCCTCTACCTTTCTGGCCGTGAAGCAGCCTGACCCTCAGGTCCCATCCTGTAGGCAAGCTGACCTTTCCCTGTAATTGAGGGCAAGCTGAAAGACAAAAAAAAAAAAAACATTGACAAACAAGCTGCTTGAGCAAGAGGTGGTAAATTCCCTGTCCTTGGAGAGATTGAGGCAGATACTGCATGACTCACTGGGATTTTGCAGTTGGACTCACTGGCAGTTAGATTCAATTATCTTTAAATGTTATCCTTGAGAAGTGATGTATCAGCAGTCAAGCAATCTTTTCCATGACGTGGTAGGACCCCACCCTCTGCCCCCATGACCTGGAGTTCCCACAGTTCAGAGTCACTCCTTGGGAGTGCCTAATAAAGAAGGGCGCTCTGTCCCCATAATAGCTCTGTGCAAGGGCACTAGGGCAAAACAGGAGGTAACCCTCAGCCTGCTGTCCTTGAGGTGCTGCTAGTAGAATACATGATAGCTTCTGTGGAAGGCAGAGGAACCCAGATCAGTTCTGGTGGAGCTACAGGGGCCACCATGGGGAAGGAAATTCCCACGCCCCACCTTGACTGGCAAGGCCAAGAGTTAAGGAAGACCGCTGAGCCGCAGGCACTGCCCGTCCTGTCAGGGTCATTTGTGAGAATCAAAATCAGAAGGTCAGGAAGGAGAGGAGGAGCTGGGATGGAGAGATAGAACTTAGTGGCCCTCAGAGAGAGTTGGGCAGGGACTGTCATGAGGAGATCACCAAAGAGGAACTTGCACAGCATGTCAGGATTTCATAAGCCCTGGTCAGGAAGGAAGTGAGGGTCACAGAGTGTGGAGAAGATTGGGTGGCTTGGAGCACTGGTGTCCAGATCCTATTTAACTGGACTCTACTCCAGTATCCCTCCTCCCAGACCCTGGGGAGGGGAGCAGGCAGGTGTCTAGAGACCCCTTCTATAGGCCCCAGAGCCTACCCATCACAGCCTTCACACTCAAAGCTTCTCCCCTCTGAATGATAACGACTTTCCTTTCCTCCTTCCTCCTCATTGCCCTTGTAGGAAGCAATGATCTTTTGCTGGTTTGGGACCATCTTTGCCATGCTGAAGTCCTCCCCCCGCCCATCACTGGCAGAGCAGCCCTATGCCTCACAAGTACTTGCTAAGTGCTCACTGCTCAGTGAAGTCTATCCTTAGCTCTTGAGCTCCCTATCCGGGGCAGTTGACTTGGTGGGCTGGGGTCTGGTCCCAGGGATGCAGGCATATTCTACAGTCAGAAGGGGATCAGGCATGGGTTTCAGTTTGGGCTGAGTGTTGATGTAGATGGAGTCCTTGGGGCCGAATTGATTCAGGTGGATAAGTGAGGCATAGCAGATGGCCCCAGTGTCTTCATCAGAGCCCTTCTGTTGATCGGAGCCCTAGGAATCAAAGGAGACAGACATTCAATGTACAGATCATAGCTGGGCATGGTCCGTGGCCCCAGGGCTGCCCTGAGCTGGGTGGAGGACAGAGACAGTGATAAGGTGTGGAACAGAGTATGGACCCTGCAGAGCCTCTGGGAATGGCTAAAGGCAGCAAAGTCACCGTCACTAAAGATGCTTAAGAATAGGCTAAGGAAGGGGCGCCTGGGTGGCTCAGTGGGTTAAAGCCTCTGCCTTCGGCTCAGGTCATGATCCCAGGGTCCTGGGACGCAGCCCCGCATCGGGCTCTCTGCTCAGCGGGGAGCCTGCTTCCTCCTCTCTCTGCCTGAGTCTCTGCCTACCTCTGTCTGTCAAATAAATAAATAAAATCTTACAAAAAAAAAAAAAAGAATAGGCTAAGGAAGACAACATAGGGTGTGACCCGTGGACCAATAGCACTGGCATCACCTAGCAGCTTGATAAAATCTCAGGCTCCACCTAAGCTCTAGGAAGGCAGTCTCTGGGGGTGGTGTCCAGGAAATTCTGTTTGCACAAGTTCTCCAGGAGTTTTCTATCCACACTTGTTTGGAGAGCACTGAGGTAGAAGAGCAATTGGTAGGGATGCCATTTGTAGAGTTGATCCCAGCATTACAGAGGGTTGTAGCAGATGACTTTAAATCCTCCCAATTCTGCAATTCTGTCATTTCAAGAGTTTTAGATCTTTAGACAAGACAGGCCTACCCAACAGCAACAGACCGGTCCCCAGTTCCTGATGAGAGAGCACCTAGGGAGCCGTGTTTTTACCATGTGACCCCCGTCCCCCTAGCTGACTGGACTGGTGGCAGCCACGCCATGAGAGGGGCCCCCTATTAACAGTTGACCCCTGTGGGGGTGAAGATCAAAAGCTGGGGAGTCAACTTCTCTTTCTAAGTGGTTTGAATTGGGAAGGATGGGGCCAAGGGTGCATGTAGATGAGGCAACAGGAGTATGAAGAGTCACGAGTGAGCCCTGGTGCAAAGTGAACAGAAACTACAAGTAAATACAAGCTGGGAAGCTGGAAAACAACAACCACCACCAAACAAAAAACACTGACAAACAAGATACCCAGGAAAGTTGAGATCGCCTCTGCCTTGGTGAGAGGTCCTTCCTATGCCCAGTGCTCTGTTCCTTCTGGACTGAGATGTTGTTATAGATGTGGTGGGATTTGTCCTCACCTGTGAAGGAAAGAGTCCAGTTTGGGGCAGGGACCTCTCCGCAGGTCCCATTCCTCTGGGAAGGCAGGGGCGCCGAAGGTCCCCACTGGGCTGAGGGACCAGGGCTGGGTCTAGAAATCCCACCCTGCCCCGGGGGGCTCACTAATGGCCAGCACACAGCATCCAGAGGTCAGACCTTGGTGCCAAGGGGCAAATCAGACTGGCGGCATACGGCAAATTTGCATAAAACTGGTAAAGCTGAATCAATCCCAGTCACTGAAAGTTCCAAATTTAAAAATCCATTTAAGTATAATCTATTTGCTGGTGAAGTTATCTATAATGTCTTTCAAAATTTTGAACCAAGAACCGCAATGAGAAACATTTTATCTTATTTCTACATATACAAACACACAGACTCATACACACACTCTCTCTCCTAAAATAAAAGTCCAATGAAAAAATATTTATCCTTCCAATGTGATATTTTGCTTTTCTATTTTAGTTTATGAAAATAGTATTGTGACCCACTAAGTTTACTTTACATAATTTGAAAAATACGTATATAAAATTTTACAACCCATTACTACTTTAGGATTTTGATAGCTCGAAAAATTAAAGTCATTAAGGTTCAACATAGCGCTGGCCCACTTCCATATTTCAAAAAAGTTGTCACCACACACATCACTGGATTATATGATTAATAAATATGCAGTATGTGCTAAACAAACCAAACAACAAAAAACAAGGCCGGAATCATCAAAAGGCACTAATCTGATAAGCCTTGCACAAAATGCTGGTGATTTTACATGTGATTAATGCTAAAAAAAACTTGCAACTTAAACATTAAAAAATCCTTTAACGGGGCGCCTGGGTGGCTCAGTGGGTTAAAGCCTCTGCCTTCAGCTCAGGTCATGATCCCAGGGTCCTGGAATCAAGCCCCACATCAGGCTCTCTGCTCAGCGGGGAGCCTGCTTCCCCCTCTCTCTGTCTCTGGCTGCCTCTCTGCCCACCTGTGCTCTCTGTCTGTCAAATAAATAAATAAAATCTTTTTAAAAAATCCTTAAATGCTTTTAGGAAGACAAAATTTTAAAACAATAGTGACAATTTTAAAAAATACTCTTGTGATGCCTGGGTAGCTCAGTCGGTTAAGCATCTGCTTTTGGCTCAGATCATGATCCCGGGGTCCAGGGATTGAGACCGCATCAGACTCCCTGCTCAGCAGGGAGCCTGCTTCCCCTCTGCCTGCTGCTCCCCTTGTTTGTGTACTCGCTCTCACTATCTCTCTCTCTCTGTCAAATAAATAAAATCTTAAAACACATATAAACACACAATAAAAAAGTTTTCCAGATAAATTTGTTTAAAAATCCTTACCTATAAGAAGAGGGCAAAATATACACTCCCCAGTGGATACTAGAATACCCAGTTTTTGGTGAATAAAGTTTGGAAGGGGCTGACCTTGAGCCTTTGAGGAGAATGACCCCACCTGCTGCTCTGACAAAGCAAGAGAACACAGCGATCCTGACCACTCACCATACAAGCCTCAGTTTCCCTGTTGGTCAAATGGGCCTGAGAAGCCAGTCTTCAGGCTCGTGGGCATGGGAACATCATGGCTAAGCCCTCAGGGTCTACTTGGAGCCAGCACTGGGGTTTACCTTTTGCGGCACTTCTGCGGGCTTTCCTGAAGGACAGGATCACGAGGAGGATGAGCACTAGCACCAGCAGGACACCCAACGTAGAGCTGGGAACGATGAGCTGCCAGTTGCCCTGAGGGCTTTGGAATAACAAATGACCAGCCAGGTGAGGCAAGTGGGAGCCAACCTTCTGCCCAGAAGGTATCCCTCTCCCCACCTGGGTGATCGCGACTGACCCTCCTGTTGAGCTGGCCGTGGTCAAGGGCTCTGCCCCATAAGCCATGCATGTCCAGCCACGTCCAGCCACGTCCAGCTACATCCAGCCACGTCTGGCCATGTCTAGCCACATCTGGGCTTGTTTCTTCCTCTGTGAAACGGGAATGTCTTTCCTCCTTTTCCCTTTCGGCTGCTGTCCCCTAACTTGAACCTCGTTGCAGGGTCTGTACTCACCCCTCCCACATCCTGCTCTTAACTATTCTTGGTCCCAGTTCCTCACCCCTGCCCATGAGATGGGCTCAGCTGGTGCCCTGTGACCAACAGTGCTGCCACATAATAAATGCTTTTGAACAAGACCTGTCTTAGGTCAAAGGCAGAACACTAAGATAGGCTTCCTTACACTGCAGCAGGCTCCCAGGGAAGGTGTCTGGGATGTCAAGGGTTGAAGCCCTAAGCCTGGGTGGCAGCTGCTGTAAGGACCCTTCTATGCTCCATGACCAGCACCACGCAGCTTCTGGGTATAGCGCCTTGAAGCAAGGAACCAGGATTTCTGAGAACCGTGGGCTCCCATCGCAGTGATGGTGGGTGGGCAGAAGGCAGGGGAGGGTGGAGGCCGGAAGAAAAACAGCTGTCGGGTCACTCCTGGGGGCTGGGGCCTGGGAACCATCAGGCAGGATGACAGGAAATCAGGCCATGGACTGTAGTAACTACAAAGTGCACCCTTTCCCGGGACCCTGGCAGCTTTGGGATAAAGAAGGGCTGGAAGAGGGGAGAGAGAAATGAGGCAGCCCTGGTCACACGTCTGGCATTGAGTCAGACCCAATTCTACCTCATCTTCACAGCCCTCTGTACAGCAGTGGTTGCCAACTGGCGGTGCTTGTGTCTCCCAAGGCAAGCTTGGCAATATCTGGAGACGCTTGGATTTTGTTGTCGCAACTGGGTGATCCAGGGGGAGATTGGCACTGCTGCTATCTAATGGGTAGGGGTCAGGGATGTTGCCAAATAGCCTGCAGTGCACAGGACACCCTCACACCAAATGTCGACATGCCAAAGGCAAGCAGGTACCTGCTGTAACGTGAGGATGTCATTGGCCCCATTCTGCAGATGAGAAAACTGAGGTTTAAAGAGGCAAAGCCACCTGGTACAAATGGTGTGACTCCCATTTCATCCCCTGAGAGCCAGATAGCGGTGGGGATGTGGCAGCTGGGGGCATTTGCCACAGCTGGCCATGGGTGGGAGGAAGTGGAGGGCAGGGAAGATGGGGAGGAAGTACCTGTCAGTGACAGGGCTGGTGACAGAGGTCCAGGCTGTGGTCCCACTGGTGCTCCTGGCAGTACGCAGGGTTGAAGCTGTAAGAGATGACAATGAGGGGAGCACTCCCATGTGTCTGCCCCACTTTCCATGCTCCCCATTGCTAGTCCTTGGCCCTGGAAAGGAGGAGCCCACACAGGGCCCTGGGCCAGGTGAGGACTCTGAGAAGCACCATGCCTCATGCCCTGCACCAGGCCCTCTATGCGGGAGTTACTCTGTGTGGGATTTCCCTCTCAGTCAAATGCTCCAGTGTGAGAGGCTTTAGGTTAGGATCACACTGTCACTGGTATATTGGATATACTACAGTCTTTTCTGTTTTCATTGTTCTTGACCATTTTATGCACTCTCAACCGAAAATGTGTCCCTCCCACCCCCCACCCACTTTTGTCTCTTCTGGATCAATTCCTGCTCACTCATAAGGCCCAAGTGGTATCACCTCCTTTGGGGAATCCTCTAGGAGAATCCATACCACTGCTTTCTCCAGCAACCTGCTCCCTCCCTTCACTGGGCCACCATCCAACATGCTTCCAATACACCACCTACCACCCACCAACTTAACCCTTCACTTCTGTGTCGGCCTTGGGTGCAAGGATCAGCAGGGGATGCTGTGGGCTCCTCCAGCACAGGATAGAGTCTCAAGGTGTTTGATTTCCCTTCCAGGGTGCAGCCCCTGCCATACATAGAGTGGACAGTGAGCCATGGCTTGGGTGGTTAGTGATTGACCAAGCAGCTGACCAGGTTCCTCTGGGTGCCCAGCTCACCAGATGGCTGAGCAGGCTTGGCAGCTGGTCTGGGAAGATGCCATTCAAGCCCTGGCCATCACAGGGAAACACAGGGGGGCTTTGTAAGTCTGAGATTTTCAGGAAAAACACCAGGGCCTCAGTCAAGACTATCGCCCAGCTTCCCACCTGAGCCTTAAGGTCTCTCGACTCTAAGGAGCAGGTCCAGGGTGAGGACACAGGCTCTCTGAGCCCTTGGCCACCACACCTCCCTGTCTCATCCCCAGAGTCCTGTGTCTGCCTCCCTAGATGGCTCCTGTCTGTCCACATTTCTTAACCCACCCAGCCACCTGCAACGCAAGCACTACCCTTTGAGAGAAAGCTGGGGTTAGGGCCAAGAGTTGGGATGCCCAGGGATGGCCCAATCAGCCAGTCTTGCTCAAACCTGAGAAGGCTTTACAGTCATTACAAACCAGTGGATGAGTCTTGTTCATAACAACAAAAATGTTCAGAGAAATGCATGTGATGGGAAAGGAAGAACCACGGGAGCCAGCAGGTCTGAGTTCTGTTGCCTGATCTGCCCTTAACCAGAGGTGACTCTGGGCAAGGGGCACCCATTTTTGGCTGCGAGAGCACTGAAGACCATTATTTTGGAGTCCTTTCTAGCTGTAACATCTTGTGACTCAGGATGATTGAGAAGCACACAAAGAAGGGAAAGGACTCACCCCGAGATACCACCAGATGGATGTTTCTGTGAAAAAATATCCCGAAGGATTTGTAGATTCCACATGAATAAGATCCAGAGTCTTCAACCCTGAGCTCGGTCATGGTGACGATGAAGTAGCCCCATCTGACGTTATCCTCAATGGAGTTTCGAGGCTTCCCCTGGAGCTGGGGCGAGGTGGCTAACAGGGTACAGGTACGTGGTAAGTCCCACCTGCACCAGAATTTCACGGCTCCTGAGCCTTTCTGGGGCTGGTACGGGCACTTCACAGAGAAGGACTCCCCTTCCAGGTGATGCAGCAACTCTGGCTTCTGTCCCCACGAGCCTGAAAGTACACTCTCACGTCAGGGAGCCACCCCTCAGACACGGTGGGGCTGGCAGGTGGGTGCCCCAGCCGTCCCTCTGCATGGCCCCCCTCATGCCCACCTCACCTGGCCATCTCCCTCCTCCTGCCCCTTTCCCTCCCTCTGCCCCCCTCGTCACCTGAGGCCAGGAGCACCAGCAGAACAGGCGGCAGCAGGCATGTGGCGTCCCAGGCCATGGGCCCTCTTCTTGAGCTGGGGTGGGAGCAGGGAAGCCCTGAGGAGAGGGAGCCGGAGCTGGGGCGCAGGGGTGGGGATTTGGCCTAGCCACTCTCACTTGTCCAGGAAGAAGAGCTGAGGGAGGCCAAGTCCTCCAGGGGGCAGCGGGAGGCCTGGGAGGAGGGGAGGTCTTGGCCTGTAAGCAGGAGCCTTGTGCTGCAGGTGCTACATGTGGGCCGGGTCCAGTCTCAGAGCTGAGGCTCCAGAGGATTCTGAAGCTTCTGTCCGCTGACTCTTGCCCAGCCTCTTCCTCCTTGTTGCATTGGGATTAGGGTGTAGAAAGCTGTGAAAGTCCAGGAAGAAACTCTGTTGAAACCAGAACCTATTTCTCCTTTCTGCTTTCCCCTCTAATCTACCACTTCCTCCCGTTCCCAAATATGTCCTCCCCGCAAGTAGAAAGGTCCAGCTGAAGGTGAGTGACAGAGTTAGGGGACCCTTTGGAGGTGCCCAGTGGTCCGAGACTTCCTGCCCAGGCCTGTCCGGGAGCTGGGGAGCTCTGTGGGGATTGGAGGGACCGAGGAGAAAGGAGAGGGAGAGTCATTTCCAGAAATGGAGGTACGGGGAATGCCCCTGTAAGGGTGGGAGAGAGTGAAGCTTTGGACATAATCGGTGGGGAGGGGAGTCGGTGGGGGGAGATAGATGCAGAAGGATGGGACCTGGGGGGTTCCTCCTCCAGGTCACCCCAGTTCCCCAGCTCCCAGCCTGCCATAATCACTCCATAAGCATTTGTCAAAGGACCACAGTAATCAAGCACATCTTAAGGAATAATTGTCATTAGAAGAGCTACTATAATCACAGGCTCTTTACAACCCAGAAAGAAGAAAACCCCGTGAACAATGCAATGTGGCAGGTCAGGCATGTGGTGTGCAGACTCTGAGGTGGAGATGAGCACAGCAGGCCTAAAGGCCTGGGGAACAAGCCGGGACTAGGAGGACAGGAAGCAGGACAAGGACAACAGGAAGCTCAGGATGTGAGGACTTCCGAGGACAGGAGGCTCTCCAGGACGGCAAGGGAATGATGGGGCTTCAGGCCCTGCAGCAGCCCTTCGGGAGTGGGCAGTGGCAGGTGGCAGGCCTCTCCAGGAAGGGCCTGGCTCTGTGCAGCTGCAGCAGCCCCCAGAGGGGCTCTCACTACTCCCAGCAGTGGGGTAAGAAGTACATCAGCCTGAAGGAGAAGCATCCCCGACCCAGTACCATGCAGCCATGTGGGAGAACTGTGACCCTGAGGCTTGCTTGCTGGCCTCCCTGTAGGGGTATGTGTACCCCACGGTGACGGACCCACCTGCCATGCTCTGCAGAGGAAACCCCCCTCAGTGCTGTTTGGTTTTTTTTTTTTAATGTGTCCTTGCCCTTGGTCATGACAGGAAGCCCTTCACAGGTGTGTCCCATCATCACAGCCCACTGCTCAGGAAGCTTCATTGCCTTACCCACTAAAGGCCGCGGCAGCCCTGGCCCGTTCAATACTTGCAGGTGTCCCGCCCTTCCCTGCCCTCTGTCTGCCCGGGCTCTGGGTCCTCCTGCAGCTCCAGGGCGAGGAGGAGGAGGAGCAGGAAGGAGAAAATGAAGCGCTGGGGCTTTGAGGACAATGTCCCAGAGCACTGGAGGTCCAAAGAAGCCCCCCAGGGCCCACCGGAGGTGGAGAGCAGGGGCAGGGAATCTAGAGCCATTTCTAAGTGCCCTGTGTTCTTACTGTGGGGTTCATGTGGGAGCAGGATCTGTGGGCGGGCACGTCGCGCAGGCTACCCCCGTTCCAGGAGCCTCTCATCCTGGGCAAAGAGGGATGGCAGGTCTCCTCACAGCTTCCCTGCCTAGCATCAGGGCACAGCCAAATGCCTCTGCCTGGGTCCAGCACCCACAATGTGAGGCCTGACCATGTGCCCCTCTGCCCTCCCTTGCCCCTTCCAGTTGAGCACAAAACAGAGAAATAGGGTCCAAAGGTCTTCAGTGCAGACAAAGACCGCTGGAGCTGGAGGAGAGCTTGCAGGCCAGCAATCACGAGACATTTACTCAGGTGCGTGAGGTTCAGGTGACTCCTTTTTATCCCAAAGGCAGTCTTGAGAGGTAGGCATTAGTGTCCCCTTTCACAAGAGAGGAAAATGAGAGCCAGCAGGGTTAGTGACTCACACAGGGTTACACAGACAGGTGGCCTCACTAGGCCGCAGTCCTAAGCCCTCTGCTGCTCTCCCACAGGACATCCTGTTCTCAGATGAGGCAGGGCGGTCAGTGTGCTGTTGTAGGATCGCGAATGGAGGGGGGCTTTTAGAGAGCTATTTTCCCGCAGGGAAATTAAGCCCCCTCTTAGACACCAAGGTCATGGCCACCCTCTCCTGGTAGGGAGGATGGGGGTGGGGTGGGGTTGGGTTGGGTGTGTGTGTGTGTGTGTGTCTGTGTCCTGGCACCAGGTTTGTTAGTTCCTCAATCTGAGTCTCTCCTCTAGTGCCCTCTCCTGGACATAGGAAAGAGGTGCCTCCTCCGTGCTGTCCCCCGGGATTATCTCCGGCCCCTTCCTCTCTCCCCACATCCATTCTGGAGTGGTCCCCCAGCTACCCATCAAGGCCTGAGCTGTGTCACTCTCCTGACTATGACATTTGCTCCCCCACCTGGGAGGTCCCTGTCCCAGGGTGGGGAGTGAAGATGTCACATCAATCCCTGGGGGCTTATTCCAGGTGCTCAGGCTGGTGGAGCCCCTGTTCCACGGGACAAAGCCAGCCCATATTCTCCAGCCCTCACTGTGGAAGAGGCCAAGTCTGAGCCAGGAGCCAGTGAAGCTGAGGCCAGACTCCTAGGGCCATTGGGCCCCCATCGAGGCTCCTCAGCACCATCCTCCCTACCCCTACCCCACCCAGGTGTTCCTCCAGGCTGTGCTCTGCTCCAAGCTGTCCTTGCTGGATCACAAGCAGCTCCTCTCTTCCCAGGGGATGATGAGTCCCAGGGGAAGGCAGATGATCTACTACTTCTCTGAACCGTGGCCTCCCCTGCAGTGGACTCTGGAGGGCTCTCAGTCTCCTATGGGAGCTCAGACCTGGAGCTGGGAACTGGGGGAGAGGGCCCTGAGTGCAGCCTCTACACACCAGTCTGGGGACAGGCTGGTCCTAACACCACGCAGCTCTGGGAAGCCTGGTCACAGCTTTCCCTGGAGAGCTGGCCAATGGGTAGCACCAGTGGGAGGGTGGGCTCTGCTGGTTCCCAGGACTTGAGTGACAAGCAGCTGCAGTCAGGGCAGGACACATCCAGAGGCCCATCAGAGGTCACAGGACTCTGGGGATGGGGGGACTGCGCTGGGGTCCCCTACTGCCAACACCCCTGTGGACCTCCAGCTCTTGGTCGCTGTTCCTTCCCCTCCATGGTAGGACCCTTGGGACACTGATTGCCTCTGGGACTCTTTCTTCCCCAAGCACATGGGGAAGCTTGAGGGGAGCAGAGGAAAGCTGAGGACACAGGGTTCCAGATGGGGAGAGGGCAGCTGTTCACCTGTCCGCTCCCCTCTGCTCCATAGCAAGGGGTTCTGAGGCCCACAGGACCAGAACTCTCTGTGTACAGCACCGTCAAGTCTTCCCCACCACCCAGAGGGGACCCAGGGCTCTGCGGCTCTGAGCTGATTCCCCTCGGTGGCTTCCCCTGGGGTTTTCTGCCTGGTACCCCCAATCTGGGGGCTGTTCCAGACCCCCGGCAGCCCAAGAGGACTGAGTGGGCCAAGAGCAGCCTCTGGTTCTAGAGAGGCCTGAGTCCAGCCTTGAGCAAGTCCTCAGCCCTCAGCTGGGTTCCAGTTCAAAAAGGCCCCCGTCTTCATCCTCCTCTGGCCTCCAAAGGCCCCTCCAGGAGGAGCTCACGCAATCCATAGTTAAGTTGCCTCAGACCAAGCAGGCTTCCATGGAGGCTCCAGTCTTCCAAGTGGGTCCCTCCAGGGTCTAGCAGGATTGTTGCACACCCTGTAGCCTGTGAAGACAAGGAGAGAGATGCAGAGGGGCAGGGCTCCTGCCTGGGCCAGTCCATCCCCTCTTCTGGCTCTGCCCTCTGCTTCCTGCCAGGTCAGCCCCGGAGGGTCATGCCATGCTGTTCCTGCCTGCCTGCCCTCCTCCCAACCTCCTCCCTCGCCTGGGTGCTGAGCAGTCCTTGTGGCTGGATGCAGGTGATGACATACCACTTGGGGACAGAGTGCAGTCAGGCGCTTTGGCAAGTGTGTCAAGCCCCCGTGCTCTGCCCCCCCCCGGAGGACGGGAGAGTGGGTTGTACTCACTTCCCCTGTGTCTCTTCTTCCAGAGCCCATAGACCGCAATCAACATCAGAGACACTGGGAGGAAGATCAGCAACCCTGGGAGCACAATGGAATACGAATCCTGGTGCCTGAGGGGACAGGACAGAGCGGGGAGGTGGTGAGCATCCAGGTGCCCCCACCCTGACCCATGTCTTTCTCGATGCCACGTAAGAAGAGCCGGGACCAGGAGAAATCCTCACAGCCCTGGTAGGAGTGATTGCCTCCCTTCCTTGGGGATCCAGCCATGGCAGAAGGAAGTGAGGAGCTCAGAGGTCAGGGGAAGAAGGTCAGGTAGAGAAGGGCATCTCTCCACTTTAGCACCTTCCCTCCATTGTTCCCCCAAACCTGCTCATCACTGAGGATGAGAACTCTAAGAGACCCCCATTTGTAACAGAAGAAACTGAGAGTCTTGCTCTCCTCATAGTGAGAGCCTCTCCTCATGGCCCTTCCCTCCTTTGTCCTCTGAAGCAGATATGGTAGGTACACAACCTGTATCCCCTTGCACCAGCCCTCAGCACCTCCATCTAAATTTTTTTCAGCCCTTGGACCTTCTCCTGTCAGTACAGTCCTTTTTGCCACCCATGGCAGGCAGCCCCTCACTGATGACCAATATGAGCAGTGTTGGTGTAGGAGTTGGTGTATTAATACCCCAGCTCCCTCGCCCTTCAGCTGGGAGTCTGATCCTGGGCCCTAGAGCTTCCTCTAGGCTTGTGCTCTGCTGCCCACAGTGGTGGACAGCTTGATTAGGTTCTCTACCAACTGCTTCTCTGTCTCCCTTCCCCCTGCTCTTTCCAGTACTCCAGGTCCCAGAGGCTGCTTCTGGGGGAGCCCAAATTAAAGCATCCACCATTTCCCACTTTCTAATCCCAAGTCACATCCTTGTCCTGCCCCAGCCTTCTCCTCTCCATCCACAGACTCATGCTGATCCATCTCCAACCCTCACTTCTCACTGCCATCCTTTATGTCCCCTCTCCAGCCTGGCATCTGGCCTCCCACGACCTCCCATTCAGCAGCAGGCCAGACTGACCTCTCCTGAGAAGGAAAGCTCTGCTATCACATCTGCACCTTGAGGTCTATTCAGGCACCAATTACTGTTGCTGGATCTGGTCAAAAGCCACCCAAGCCCAGGACCCACAGGTACCTGACAGGGGATAATTTGTTGAGGAGAGACCCGCCGGTCTGGCACATTCCTGTGGTGGGTGATCTGGTGTGCAGATGCCCAGCCCTGGTGGAGATGGATGCTGGGGCAGCAGAGGAGGCTCTGGCATCACTTGGAGACACAGTCACTGTCTGGGATTCCACGGTCCTCCTGGGCCCCATGGTAGAAGGGCCAGGGCTGGTGAAGCTGAAGCCTGTCATGGAGGTCAGTCTGATGGACTCTGAGGCAGTCGGGGGCACGAGACTGGTCAAGGTGAGGAGGCCAGGTGTGAAAACTGTCATGCTGGTGGTGAAAGGGGCATCAGAGCCTGAGGTGGGGGCTGGGCCCGATGTGACAACAATTCTGCTCTTGAGGATATTGGCCAGCTGTCTAAGAGGAGTGCTTCTCCTGGTTGTGGAGGCTAAGGGGCAAGAGAGGGAAGAATGTTAGACTGAGTCAGGGGCCTCGCTGATGGGAACAGGTCCTTGTCTCCCCTCCTTGACCCTGGACCAAGAATTCTGCTCTGTTGTGTGACCAAATGTGGGCTTGTCAGGGAGAAGAAGTAGGCACAGTAAAGAAGGAAGAGGCTCTCCCAGTTTCTTTAGCTTTCCCTATCAGGCCAACTCTCCTCCCTGTCTCCACCTCTTTAGTCACCTCCAGACCTTCCTTATTCCTGCACGCCAAAGAGATTTCTTCACTAGCACGTTGAACAGGGACCTTCCAGGTGTTCCATAATTGGTGACCAGGGTCCAGAAATGAGGACAAGGAAGCACTGAAGGCCCACATTCCAAAGACTGCCTCCAGCAGCAGATGCCCACCTTAGGAGCTTAAGAAGAGACATCTGCTCCCATCATCCATCCACTCAGCCTTTTACCTCACATTTTCTAGAAGGCTGGCATTTGGGTGGTGGAAGAAGAAGGGTTGTAGGAAGCATGAGGTCCCATCTGTGGCGATGTGGTGGAGTCTATCTCTGCAGAGAGCAAGAGAATTGGAGAGAGATGGTGGGGGAGAGAGAGGGCTGGCACAGGCTGCCACATCCCATGACTGTGCATGGCAAGGACACACTCCTGAGGGCTAAATGGCCACCATGGAAGGTACCCATCTTTCTGGGCAAGGGAACCAGAACAAGCAGCACTGGTGAGAGTGGGGATGGGGGAAGAGGGTGACCTGGAGCCAGACCTCCCACATCATCCTACTCAGCAGTGGAGAGACCTCAAAGACCCCTCAGAGAACTCACGTGTGCATGTCTTAGGAGAACCAGCATTTAGACACCCACCTTACAGAGGATCACAAAGGGCTGGGTAGAAAAAAGTAACACCCAACAAAGAGGAGAAGGCAGGACGAGGTTACTGAGAAGAACCTCACCTTCCCCACCTGCTGGGATGAAGGAGAGGGAGTTAGGCAGCAGGCTACTACCCTCCTTCCTACTCTGGGAGGCTTGGGCCATAACCTCTGGTCTTCAAGGAGTAGAAGAGCATATATTGCTAGAAGATTAGAGTTTTTAAATGGGCTGAGGATTTTTTATTCCCTAATAATTGAAAGGGTCTGCTAAGTTGGAATCTCCCCAAATGGCCTTTTTAAATGGTAGACCATGGGATTTGACAAGGGAGGGGGGTATATGCAAAGAGAAAAACAAAACCATTTCATGTTTGTATCCCTGCATATTAAGACTTTGATACACTTGATTTTAACTATTCCTTGGGTCTAAAGCAGAACTGGAGAGGGGGAATGAGATTTGGCCTCACATCTTAGAGACAGCAGTTGCCCTAGCTCAGTCACAACAGAAGAGGGGGATGCAGGTGGGCCAGGGGATGGGGAAGGGTCAATAACTCATGCCATCACCATTGGCTGGTTTTTTTCATGTTCTCTTGCTGGTTCCTCACTCTTTCCTATCTTATAAATGTGGGGGAACCTCAGGGCTTGACCCTTCTCTCTTTTTTACACTGAAGGGAGAACTTCTCCATCCCCTTGAATTTTTAACAGATTTTTTTGAAATATTATTCACATTCCACATACCACACCCATTTGTAGCACCAAATTCAATGACTTTTAGTCTATTCACAGAGTCATACAGCCACCACCACAGTCAATTTTGGAATATACCCACCATCTCCAAAAGAAATCCCCACCCTTTAGCTATTAACCTCTACCTCTCCTTCCTTTCCCCCAGCCCTAAGCAACAACTAATCCTCTTTCTGTCTGTATAGAATTCTCAAATCCCCTAGACTTTAAATCATCTTCACAAAGGACTTCGTGGGTGGCTCAGTCAGTTAAGCATCTGACTTTGGCTCAGGTCCTGATCTCAGGGTCGTAGGATAGAGCCCCTCTTCCCTCTGGCTCCCTGCTCAGCAGGGAGTTTCCTTCTCCCTCTCCCTCTCCCTCTGCCTCTGTCCTCCCCCACTCATACTCACTATCTCTCAAACAAATGGATAAAAAAAAATCTTAAAAAAAAAAAACAAATAAAAATAAACTATCTTCACAGGGATACTTCCCCTGTGTATATCCCCAGCTCTGACCTCTCAGCTAAGCTCCAGGATTCACTGCTGCTCCATTTGCCCACCTGGGGTTCTAGGAGGTGTCTTAAACTTAACATGACAAAAGATAGCTCTTGATTTTTATCCTCCAAACTAGCATCTCTCCAGAGTCACCCTACCCAATAAATGGTACCGACATGCACCTTGCAGATGGAATAAAAAACCTTAGAGTCACTCTTGATTCCTCCCTTTCATTCACCTGTCTTACCTCCAAAGTTTATGGAGTGGGCAGGAAGTCTGAACATCACAGATTTGAACCACTTCTCTCCACCTCATGTCCTACTTTAAGACACTCATTCTCAGCCACAATACACACAGTGGCCTCTCGGCTCATCTCCTACCCTTCCACAATCCACCCTCCACACAGCAGCCATTATACTCTTTTTTTCTCTTTTCAGCCATTATACTCTTAAAGACAAGTCACAACACACTCCCGTAAACACTCCAATAGCTTCCTATTGTACTTAGAATAAAACCCAAACGTGGCATTATAGACTTTAGGCTGCTGTTTGACTCTCCCAACCTCATCTCCTGCCATTGTGCCCCACACTCAATATGGGGCAGCAACACAGCCCTGCCTTATACAAGCCCAGCTCTTTCTCACCGCAGGGCCTTTGCACATGCAGAACTCCCTGCCTAGAATACAAAGCACCCACATTTCAACAGGGCTAGAAAGCTCTTCTCACACAGGACTCTGCTTGATGTCATCTGCTCAGGGAGGTCCTCTCTAGTCTCCCATGCTTCACTAGCTCCCCCCCACCAACACTGAGTTACTTCCCAGTTTGTCACACTGCTTGATTTTCTTAAAAACATTTATTGTTATCTATAATTATTCTTCTGATGATGAGCAGTGGCCTGTCATCTCTCATAGGGCAGGTCTGTGTCTAGTCTCTGGCACAGATTCGGGACTCGGTGAATATATATTGAACAGATGATGGAATAAAAACAAAGCACAGAGAGCCCTAAGTGTGAATCTTGTCTCTGCCACTTGCTACCTCTGTGACTGTGGACAAGGTCAGATCCACAGAGGGTTTTTTAGATCTCATTTTCTTCATTGGTAAAGTGGGGGACAACAATGCCCGTGAAGATGTCAGTAAAGGAACCGTGAAAACCCTGTAGCACAACACGCCCATTGATGGATTATTCTTCTCACTACATCTGCTGTGAGTGGAGTACGGGGCAGGGAGGACACCCCTACCCTCCCAGTGCCCTGGCAGGCCTGCTCACCTGGAGACACTTCCAGCAGGAAACCCGTCAGGGGGTACAGGGTTCCTGAGCTGTTGCGCATGCACCAGTACCTGCCGGAGTCCTGGCGCCTGAGGGCCGCCATGGTGATCTTGACCACCTTGGCCTTGGGATCGTCCTGCAGCTGGTAGCGCGTCCCCTGTACCCAGCCCCGGGCGAATCCAGGCTCACACCGCTTCCTCCTGATTTTGCACCATACCTTACCCTCCATGTGGTTTTTGCGGCTCTTGTAGGAGCACTGCACAGACAGAGTCTCCCCTTCAAAGTGCTGGACTTTAGTGTACACGTTCTCGGCAGGGACACCTGGGGAGACACTGCTGGTGAGCAAGGTCTGGAGAGAGAGGAGGAAGGAGGCATCTCAAAGGTTGGGATGAGGGGAGAGGAGGTGGATACGGCCCTGCTGTCATGGAACCAGAGTTCCAGGGAGAAACACAGCCCTGCTCCAAAAGAACACCCCCGTCCGAGAGAGGAGATGCACAGGCCCTGCTTCAAGCTAGCTCCCAGTCTGATGGGGAAGACACAGGCCACTCCCTCAAGGAGCTTCCAGTCTTTTGGAGTAGACAGTAGCCCTGCCTTCTGGAAGTTCCCAAACTAGGAGGAAGACAATAGTCCATGCCCTTGGTGAGTTCTAGGATGAAGATATAAGACTAGCCCTCAGGGAACTCCCAGTCTGATGGTCAAGACACAGGCACAGCCTTCAGGGAACCCCCAGGCTAATGGAGGAAACTCAGCCCTTACACTCAGGGAGCTCCAACTGACACAGCCCCTTTTTTCATGGTATTTTCTAGCCCGATGGGAAGGTAATAGACCTAGGTCTTGTCCTCAGTGAGAGATATACAGAAGTCACAAAGTTACAAAATTCCAGAGCACAAACAGCTTAGATAAAAAAGAAAATCCAATAGTTGAAAAAATTAAGAGTAGTTATTTATTTCACAAATAACTTCATCATAGTTATCTTTTAAATAGCAAGGTGCTGTAGGTCATTTTCGGTGCAGTTTCATTTTAAAACATTCTAGTTGCATAAAACCCAGAGATTAAAAATGCTCAAACATGCAAATAAATTCCCAATGGAGTACAAACCAAAGAACTATACCATTATTCACAGTTCATCCATAGCCTGTTACAGTCTCCGCCTAGAAATAAGATGTGGTCCGTGCATTTCACAATCCACGGCTGGCAGGGAGAGAGTAGAACTAGGGCTGAAGGTGGGGAATCAGGGGACAGGGAGACGGACAAAGCTGTGACGGTCTCCCTCCACTCCACTGCCCACCATACGCCCAGCATGTACCCCTCTCACATCCCCCAGAGCCTGCTGTCGACACACACACGCACACACGCACACACACACACATACACACATTTCTCCCCAGCAGGACAGAGTGGAGAACACACATTTTGGAGTCTAAATAAATATGGGTTTAAACCCTGGTTCCACCACTGACTAACTGTGTGAGTAGACCCCAAAAGTCTGCTTCTTTATCTGTCTCAGGTTGACTGTGGGAACTGGGCCCCAGGACTGTGCCTGGGAGGGAGGTGGTGCTCCACGTGCTTCCCTTTCTCAAATCCAGGTTGCTTCAGACTTCTCCAGTGGAGCCCAGAGCTGTGACAGCTAAGGACCCCACAAATGACAGGAGATGTCTACCTGCCTTCACCTCAGCCGCACTACAGCTGAGACTTGTGCTAAGGTAGCACCCTGTCTGGACATTCCTTTGTCCTGGACAAACCAACAGAATGATCCAAGTCAGTTAACTGGCAGGTGGGCGGTTTGGAGGAGCCCAGGATTACTTCACACTTCTGCCCTGGCAAGGAGAGGGGGCTTTCTAGGAGAAGTGCGGGGTCGGGAACTCTATTGTAAAGGGTCTGTGTTCATTGGTGCCCACCTTCCACCCCTCTCACAGGTGGTGGCCAGAACTGAACAGGAGAGGGTAACTTGGTGACCATGGCAATAAGAAAGGCAGGACTGCAGAAGGCCCCCTCAAGGGGCATTTAGTAGCTGTGGGGTGAGCGAGGCCTTCAAGGAGGGCTTCCCTTCAGGATAGGGGGATGAGGAAGAGCGTATTGGCACAAAGCACTTAGCCAGTTAAAACACACACACATGTGATGCAATGATTCTTGTAAGAACCAAACAGGGCTTTCTAGAGAAGGGAAGGAGACTTTTTGGGTGAGGAAACAGTGTGTCCGTGATCAGAGGTCCTGACCAAGCCTGGCAGATGAAGGGGCCCAACCAGTGAGGGTCCAGAGCTTTATCTTAGTTTGTGAGTCCTGTGTTAACTTTGCCTGGGGCCAGATAGTGGGATGTGACCTTCTTACTGGTTAGGAGCCACTAGATCAGCCCCATCTCCCTTCTCCTCCAACCCCACAAAGCATCAAACAAGATTATTGGACAAGGAAAAGCAGGGAGGGAGAGTCCAGAAAAAGGCCATTCCCTCCCTCCTATGCCAGCTCCTCTCACCTGAGACAGGGCGCTGGAACCACAGCAGCCCCAGCAGTAACAGCAGGAAGGTGGGAGCCATGGCTCCATCCAGTTGGGGACAGTCACAGGCCAGCAGGGGGCCGGGACACCTCGAATCCAGGGTTAAGGGCCCAGGCCAATGCAGGATGTGCCACTTAGGTCTGCCAGGGAAGGACCTGGCCTTCTCAAAGTGCAGTTGCCCATTTAGGGAAGTGAGGAAGTTGTGGAACCCACAGAGATCGGCAGACCGCAGGGCCCGCAGAGCATACCGAGGGCGGCGCTGGCTGTTGTTCACGCCCTCTTCCCCGAAGCTTCAGGCAGGTGTGGCTGCTCCACCCAGTCTGGGGCCCCTGCAACGCAGGAAGGGCTCTGAGGGTTTGAAGACTTCCAATCCTTTCCTGGAAACTGCCCGGTGGGTGTGCCTCCTAGCTTGAAGCAGGGGATTGGTGTAGGGGACTGGGGTGAGTTTTCTGGACCCTCAACTACAGGCTCCCTGGGATTCCCTGGGCTCAGAGACCCAGGGGTAGGGGCTCGGGCTGGAGCAGGGCACCTCGGATCCTAGGTTTTCAGCAACACACATTCGCAAGTTTTCTTGTCAACTCCATTCATTCATTTCACTCAGCCCTCAATGATGCGCTCCTTCTGGTGCCCTCTTTTGCCAAGTTCCGGGCTGGTCAGAACAGTCCGCCTCGCTCACACTAGCAGAGAACCCCTTCCTAGCTCAAAGGCGATCTTATTTCTGCTACAGTTAGAGTGACGGGAAAAAAGATGCAAATCGTTAAGGCTCAGGGCATAGTTTGAGCTCGCGCTGTGACACGTGGGACACACACACACACACACACACAGAGGCTGTCTTTCCTTTTGACTACTCACTCGTCTCCTTATCTTTACCCCTCTCTCGCATTCTCCTACCAACCGGTCTAATCACCCACCAGCTCCGCCCCTCCCCCGCCTCCCTCTTGCAGGCTCCCCTCCCCCGCTTCTCCAAAAGCCACGCCCCCAGCGCCCCCCCACCCCCAGGCCCCCCGGCCTGGCCCCCTGCCGCAGGCGCATGCCCACTCAACTTCCTCTCACTCAACCCTATCTCGCCCAGACAGCCGCCCGGCTGCAGCCGAAATAACCCAGCATTTGGCCCAAGACCCCACCCTTCACTCAGTCGCGAGCTCTAAGAATCAGAAAAATAGAATTCTGACGTCCAAGAGCTGTGTCATCTGCTCACTGGGGGCGAGGGGGCCTACACGATTATGTGTTTCCCCCTACGCGCCTTTTTTTCCTTAGACAGGAACTTTTCCTTAGACAGGACTCACAAGTAAAAAGTCTTCAACTGAGCTTGAACTCGCAAACACCAAACCAAGGAAGCTTGATCTCTGCTGATTCCAAACTTTCAGTCTCTTAACTTATTCTATTCATGCATTCGTTTGTCTCTACAGTCTTACGCACCACGTGAGGTGCCAAGCATATGGGGTAGAGGAATGTCACTTCAGACCTCTCAGCTCCCAGAAGACCTGTTTCACTTTCTTCATTCACCCTTCCTGTTTAATAGGTCTTCCCAGTGTTCAGATGACTGCGTTCAAAGGCTCTTTGCCCTCCCAATGCATGGTGTCTTCCTTCCTTTCTTCCATCCCAGCCCTAAGTGGCTTCAAGAATGGGAGTGGGGAGGGGGGGGTTCCACTTACCTCTTGTAGGAACTTATTTCCTGGAATCGCAGTGATAGCTGTGACGATAAAACCCAGCACTCTCATTCCACTGAGAGAGGAAGTATAAATTGGATTCATTGTTTCTTGAGAGAAATTTGGAAGGATTTATCAAGATCTCTAAAAATGTGTATCCATCAGGCTTTTATGAACAAGATGATTTAACATAGCACTAGATTATTTCTCTTTACATTTATTTTCCCATCAAAAACTAGGATCTAATTTACATAGAGTAAAATTCCCCTTTCCACAAAGAAAACTCCAGATTCAATTTTCTTCAACTTCTTCAGTGAGCTGTACCAAATACATAAAATGAAATAACACCGATGTTACAGAAACCATTGAAGATAGAAGAGGAGATATATCCCAACTTGATTTGTAAGGTCAGAATATCCTTGACACTAAAACCTGACAAGGACATTACTGGAAAAGAAAAGTACAGATGTGCATGCTTTATGCACATAGATAGAAACATTTCTAACAAACCAAAAGCAAATCAAAACCGTCAATGTATATAATAACATAAAACAATATGACCAAATAGAGTTTATCTCAGGAATGCTACCTATGTTCAACATTTGAAAATCAGTCAACCTAATTCACCCCATCACCAGAATAAAGGACAATTATGGGATTATCTCAAACAGATGCAGAAAAAAGAATTTGCACTACTCCCACCACCACCACGACCAATTCATAATTAAAAACTCTCAGCAAAAAAAAAAAAAAAAAGCTGTAGAAGAGAATGTCCTGGCTTTAATAAGGGACATTTACCAAAAACCTATCTCTAGCATTGTATTTATGGCAAATATGTTGTATGTTGGCTGCATTTCCCTTAAGATAGTTCATGGTAGACGTAGATTCTGAGAGCTCAATGCCCTGGCCTTGCTAGATGGTCAGTGTTCTGAATATGATTCTGGGCTTTTCTTGTTTTATGGATGTAATATCTTCTGTTCCCTGAAACATTTATCTTTCACTCACAGGCAATTATCCTGTTTGTTCAGTGTGATTTTTCTCTTAGGCTATGAATCTCCTCATGTATAGAGCAAACAGAATAATGGATCCTGGCTGTCACATCTTATTTGCAGACAAAGCATTTTGAATAATTATCTTCTGCTCACATTTTGGGCTTCCAAGGCATCTGCTTTTGCCATGTTAATTGCATCTAATTTTTTTTTTTTTAACTTCTAGGAATTCCTCAGTTTCTGGTCTGCTGATTATGACTTTTCTGATTTGCAATTTAACAATTTATTTTGGAGTAATTTAGCTTTTAACATATTCAAGCTAGGAGGAGAGGAAAGCTAGTGAGATTCGTGTGCCATCTTGCTTAGTTCCCCCTACACATTTCAGTTCAACGGCTTGCATTTGAGCCCAAGGAAAAATACAGAGGACTTTCAGGTAGTGCAGAGGTGAACAGAGAACAGGTGAGGAAGTGAGGTAGGTGCCCAGCTGAAGGGGGGGTGAGAGAGGGCAGGAGTGCAGCGAAAGAAGAAGCAGGCTGAGGTGAGGGAAGGTGTTACCTAGGGGCTGGTCCAGGAAGCTGAGTTGTTGATCAGATGCATAGAAACCTTCCACGGGTGATCAGCCTGGAGGAGTTAGGGGCTGGGGAGGTGGGTCTCAGAGTGCTCAGTACTGGGATGAAGGCTCAATCAGATGAATGGGAGATGGAGGATTTCTCAAGAAGGCTTTCTTCACAGGACTGTGGCATGAGTAGTTAGGGGGGATCTCCCAATAGCTGGGCAAGGGCAGAAGATAGGGCATCTTGGATCTGCAGAAGATGCACCCAAGTGTCCCAGAGCCCAGGCTGGTCTGACACAATCAGAAACTTCCATCACTGCTGTCCCTACAATATCCTTATCACCCTGAGGAGGGAGGATGAGGAGGAAATTCTAAATTGAGGTGAATCTTTTCCTCACCTTCTTTCCCTACCCCTTCTTCCTACCTATCCCTGTTACTGATCTCCCCCTCTGTCCCCCTCCCTTCCTTTTGCCTACTTCCAGGCACCCCTTCTTTTCCCCTAAAAACTTGGCTCTGGATAGAGATAAGGATCAGAGTTCAGTGGGGTGGGAGGGATAGAGCCAGGGGAGTAGAAACAATCCTACCAGGTCAGAAAGGACAGGGACATCAGGCTGAACCATCAGCAGGAGGCTACTGAGGCCAGAAAAGAAGAGCAGATTTGCTGAGGTGATGGGAGCATGGGGGAAATGGTAGAGAGAAGGCTCCAGAATCAGAGCTAGGCAGACCAGGTATGGGGGCCACACAGAGGGCCACAGGGAGGGGTCTCAGGAGCCATCAGTAGAAATCCTGGGTTTTTGCCCTGTCTGTGCTCCTAAGGGCTGGGTGACAGGTTTTGGCGGACCACATGGATCTCTGAGCCTCATTTCCTCAACTGTGATATCTTGGATAGCCCCTGAGATGCTTTAGGCTCTGAATTCCAGAAGGTTTCTCAGGGAAGGAGGAATAATATGCCTGTATATTCTCTCACAGTGTTCCTATTCCCACCGAGCACTTTACTGTGTCTTCATTTCGCTGGTTGAAAGATGTAAAGTGACATTTCATGGTTGTTTTAATGGACATTTCCTAGATTACTAACAAGTGTGAATACTGTTTGCCTGAATAGTAAGTTTATCAAGTTTTTAAAAAATTTAACTAGAATGTGAGGGTGATCTGGCTGCAACATCTGTCACCCAGCTGATCACCAGGATTGATTGGGCTGATCTGACTGACTAGACAGTTGTCCTCTTCCTCCCTCACCACTAACCCCCTTCCCCCCACCCACCTTCCCCTACCCACTTCCCCTTCCTCATCCTTCAGTTTGTTTCCCAGAGTCAAGTGTCTGTCATGGTTCATCTCCCTCTCTGATTTTTTCCCACTCAGTTTTCCTCCCTTCCCCTATGATCCTCTGTGCTATTTATGTTCCACATATGAGTGAAACCATATGATAATTGTCTTTGTAAAGAATATACGTTCTATTTACTTAACTGAAGAGCCATATTTATATTGATTTACTCCTGTTGCTCCTTTAAACTTATCAGTATCTACATATTTTGTCTCATGAGACAAGTACTTGCCATCCTTTCATGGTCTTCTGGTCTCTTCTCCTCACTCTGTGTTAATGTTGTCTGGAATATTACTTTTCAGTTGTCATGGATATATTTTCTCTTTCTCTTCATTTTGGCTCTAGTTGCTTTTTGTTTGTTTGTTTAAGAAAAAATATATACTCTCCAAGGTGCTTGATCACACTATTTCCTCATCTCTTGCAGCATCTTCTGGATTTGTTTTGAGTATTTCCACCAGGTATATGTTCAGTGGGGATCTTTGCATGTGGAAAACTTTCTGAGGCTTTCAAAGTCCCAAAGTATTATGATCACATATTTGAATGACAGTTTGGCTGGATATAAAATTCTAGGTACAAAGTTCTTTTTTTCAATCCTTTAATAATACTACTCAACTGTCTTCTGGCATCCAGTGCTCCTCTTAAGAATTCTAGTGTAGAC